CTTCCTACAGTTAGGACCATGGTCAAAATCCCCTCTCGATTCCTTCAATGAACGAGAGGTCCATAAATCGAGCGATCAAACCTTCCTACAGTTAGGATCGTCTCAAACCTCCCACTCGGTCAAACCTTCCTATAGTTAGGGCCAAAACCAAAATCCCCTCTCGATTCCTCCAATGAACAAGAGGTCCATTTTCAAATCGAGTGATCAAACCTTCTTACAGTTATGGTCATCTCAAACCTCCCACTCGGTCAAACATTCCTACAGTTAGGGCCAAAACTAAAATCCCCTCTCGATTCCTCCAATGAATGAGAGGTCTATTTTCAAATCGAGTGATCAAACTTTCTTACAGTTAGGGTCACCTCAAACTCCCGCTTGGTCAAACCTTCCTACAGATAGGACCAAAATCACAATTCACTCTCGATAAATAAGAAATTCATCTTTAGTTCGGTAATCAAACCTTCCGACAGTTAGGATTATCCGAATCCATTCAATTCTCGGAGTGGAGATCCCACTCTTAGTTTCACCTTGCCCGGATTCTCGAAGTGGAGATCCCACTTGGAGTTTCCTTCGCAACTGGAGATAGAATATAAAATTATTCCTCTTCGGTTTCGGGAGATAGGATATAAAATTCTTCCTCTCCCATTTTGGGTTCATCTTTGCCCTAAGAGAAGACACAATATTTCAACATTATAACTTCAAAATTCGTGCCTCCCATGCGCGGGGAATTTTATCCCGAATCCTAAATAGGGATAAGTCAACGCCTAACACGCATTGCCGATTTAGTCTTTCACTGATTGATAAAGACACCAGAATCCTAGTCTGGGGAATTTGATCCCAAAGTCTAAGTAGGGATAAGTCAACGCCTAACACGCGTTACCGATCAGTCTTTTACGGTAAAAAATATAAAAACACACATATTCGATATTGTGGTAGGTTATTATTAATAACACAAAAATCTGTACCTCACACGCACGAGGAATTTGATCCCGAAGCCTAAGTAGGGATAAGTCAGCGCCTAACACGCGTTGTCGGTCAGTCTTTTACCGTAAAAAAGGATAAAAGCCCACATATTCGATATTGTGGCAGGTTGTTTGTTTTTAATAATACCAAAATCTGTGCCTCACACGTACGAGTAATTTTATCCCGAATCCTAAGTAAGGATAAGTCAACGCCTAACACGCGTTGCCGGTCAGTCTTTTACCATAAAAAGGACAAAAGCCCACATATTCGATATTGTAGCAGGTTGTTATTAATAACACCAAAATCCGTGCCTCACACGCACGGGGAATTTTATCCCGAATCCTAAATATGGATAAGTCAACGCCTAACACACGTTGTCGGTCAGTTTTTTACCGTAAAAAGGACAAAAGCCCACATATTCGATATTGTGGCAGGTTGTTATTAATAACACCAAAATCCGTGCCTCACACGCACGGAAAATTTTTCCCGAATCCTAAGTAGGGATAAGTCAACGCCTAACACGCGTTGCCGGTCAGTCTTTTACCGTAAAAAGGACAAAAGCCCACATATTTGATATTATGGTAGGTTGTTATTAATGACACCAAAATCCATGCCTTACACGTACGGAGAATTTTATCTCGAATCCTAAGTAGGGATCAGTCAACGCCTAACATGCGTTGCCGGTTTAGTCTTTCACCAATTAAAGAAGATACCAGAATCCAAGTCTGGGGACTTTTATCCCGAAGCCTAAGTAGGGATAAGTCATCGCCTAACACGCGTTGCCGCGTAGTCTATTCCCATAAGAAAGATGAAGTCTACGTGTTCAATATCGTAGCACTAAGAGAGTTAACTCTCTTAGCACAACGTCACATGCGGAACGTGTGACGCCCCTGGGTTCACACAAGGCTGCAGTCCAAGGTGAAATCAGGAATGTCAAACCTGTCATGCACTACACCGTGCAATAATACGTTTCACCATCACAATAAGTATCCATCTAGTGGAATCAACAACAGGTGTAGGTACAAAACAGGCAAAAGAAAATATAATGGAACAGTAATAAACAATAGGTGATCTGAAGAAAATAGTCATCACTGATATGAGTAAATAAATCTCTGAGAAGAAACAATATCTGAGCTGAATACAAATGTCTCGACACAGGGAGAAATAACATTTAGGAACCTCGCCTTTACAAAAACTAGAATAAACTCTCAATTGTTCATAAACAAAATTTATTGTGGAGTTCAAACATATACTAATAATATCTATGAATAACTGCTAGAGCAAATCCATCAACCTACGGCTCTCCGTGCACCTGGCTCGTTACCTGAAAGTGGGGAAACAACGAGCGTCAAAGCTCTATAGCGGGTAACATCACAACCAACCCCAAGGGAGAGGGCTCGTTGTATACAGAAAATACAGATAATATATAATAGATACAAAATCATTAGTCCTAACAAAGAGGGCTTTAATATTTAGGAATTTACAACACGAACATAGGTACGTCGAGCGAAATAATCCAAACAAGGAAACCCTCATGTATATACCTCGTTATCTCAAGTTGCAAACCCTTAAATATCAAACCCAAGAGCTAGAACAGGAACAATAATAATAATAGGAAGAATCGCACACCCAAACTCCGAACTCATATACTATCTCATGTCATAACTCATGTACATGTCATGTACAGCATATACAGTATAAATGTCAAAAATCAAGGTCTAAATTGATGTTCAACACATGGACTAAAATCAAAAGTAGTGGATGTCCAACACATGGACTGAAAGATGGTTGTCCAACACATGGACTGAAAGTAAACGTCCAACACATGGACGAAAAAGTGAGTGTCCAACACATGGACTGAAAAGTAAATGTCCAACACATAGACTAAAAGGTAAATGTCCAACACGAGGACTGAAATGGATTATAGTCCAACACGAGGACTTTAATGGATTATAGTCCAACACGAGGACTTTAATGGATTATAGTCCAACACGAGGACTTTAATGGATTATAGTCCAACACGAGGACTTCAATGGATTATAGTCCAACACGAGGACTGAACAAACTATGCCAATATCTAAGCGATATGCGAAAAGATAAACTTCACAACTTTCACACAAATAATTCCAACAACTAATTTGGCTGCACCAATCTGGCTGCCTACGTACCCTCTTTTTCAAGGGATCAAGCCTCCCGTAGTTCATCAAAGATATTCATACAAATATATGCAACTCTAGTTTACCGTTTATCACAACAAAACTAACACAATATGTCAATAGACCAAATCAGATCATAATCCCATTGGGATACACATATGCGTATTACAACATACTTATGACTATAAGTGTAACTCGATTCCACCAATGAACGAGAGGTCCACTTTCAACTCGAATAGTCAAACCTTCCGACAGTTAGGATTATTCGAGTCTTTCCGATTCTCGGAGTGGAGATCCCACTCTTAGTTTCACCTTGCCCGGATTCTCGAAGTGGAGATCCCACTTGGAGTTTCCTTCGCAACTGGAGATAGAATATAAAATTATTCCTCTTCGGTTTCGGGAGATAGGATATAAAATTCTTCCTCTCCCATTTTGGGTTCATCTTTGCCCTAAGAGAAGACACAATATTTCAACATTATAACTTCAAAATTCGTGCCTCCCATGCGCGGGGAATTTTATCCCGAATCCTAAATAGGGATAAGTCAACGCCTAACACGCATTGCCGATTTAGTCTTTCACTGATTGATAAAGACACCAGAATCCTAGTCTGGGGAATTTGATCCCAAAGTCTAAGTAGGGATAAGTCAACGCCTAACACGCATTGCCGATTTAGTCTTTCACTGATTGATAAAGACACCAGAATCCTAGTCTGGGGAATTTGATCCCAAAGTCTAAGTAGGGATAAGTCAACGCCTAACACGCGTTACCGATCAGTCTTTTACGGTAAAAAATATAAAAACACACATATTCGATATTGTGGTAGGTTATTATTAATAACACAAAAATCTGTACCTCACACGCACGAGGAATTTGATCCCGAAGCCTAAGTAGGATAAGTCAAGCGCCTAACACGCGTTGTCGGTCAGTCTTTTACCGTAAAAAAGGATAAAAGCCCACATATTCGATATTGTGGCAGGTTGTTATTAATAATGCCAAGAAGCCTAAGTAGGGATAAGTCAACGCCTAACACGCGTTGCCGGTCAGTCTTTTACCATAAAAAGGACAAAAGCCCACATATTCGATATTGTAGCAGGTTGTTATTAATAACACCAAAATCCGTGCCTCACACGCACGGGGAATTTTATCCCGAATCCTAAATATGGATAAGTCAACGCCTAACACACGTTGTCGGTCAGTTTTTTACCGTAAAAAGGACAAAAGCCCACATATTCGATATTGTGGCAGGTTGTTATTAATAACACCAAAATCCGTGCCTCACACGCACGGAAAATTTTTCCCGAATCCTAAGTAGGGATAAGTCAACGCCTAACACGCGTTGCCGGTCAGTCTTTTACCGTAAAAAGGACAAAAGCCCACATATTTGATATTATGGTAGGTTGTTATTAATGACACCAAAATCCATGCCTTACACGTACGGAGAATTTTATCTCGAATCCTAAGTAGGGATCAGTCAACGCCTAACATGCGTTGCCGGTTTAGTCTTTCACCAATTAAAGAAGATACCAGAATCCAAGTCTGGGGACTTTTATCCCGAAGCCTAAGTAGGGATAAGTCATCGCCTAACACGCGTTGCCGCGTAGTCTATTCCCATAAGAAAGATGAAGTCTACGTGTTCAATATCGTAGCACTAAGAGAGTTAACTCTCTTAGCACAACGTCACATGCGGAACGTGTGACGCCCCTGGGTTCACACAAGGCTGCAGTCCAAGGTGAAATCAGGAATGTCAAACCTGTCATGCACTACACCGTGCAATAATACGTTTCACCATCACAATAAGTATCCATCTAGTGGAATCAACAACAGGTGTAGGTACAAAACAGGCAAAAGAAAATATAATGGAACAGTAATAAACAATAGGTGATCTGAAGAAAATAGTCATCACTGATATGAGTAAATAAATCTCTAAGAAGAAACAATATCTGAGCTGAATACAAATGTCTCGACATAGGGAGAAATAACATTTAGGAACCTCGCCTTTACAAAAACTAGAATAAACTCTCAATTGTTCATAAACAAAATTTATTGTGGAGTTCAAACATATACTAATAATATCTATGAATAACTGCTAGAGCAAATCCATCAACCTACGGCTCTCTGTGCACCTGGCTCGTTACCTGAAAGTGGGGAAACAACGAGCGTCAAAGCTCTATAGCGGGTAACATCACAACCAACCCCAAGGGAGAGGGCTCGTTGTATACAGAAAATACAGATAATATATAATAGATACAAAATCATTAGTCCTAACAAAGAGGGCTTTAATATTTAGGAATTTACAACACGAGCATAGGTACGTCGAGCGAAATAATCCAAACAAGGAAACCCTCATGTATATACCTCGTTATCTCAAGTTGCAAACCCTTAAATATCAAACCAATAACTCACTAACATAATAAATTGGTATCAAATAATTGAGGCGAACACTCAACATAGGAAAGATACATCACAAATCAACAGTGGCCAATACTATGTGGCGGTCGACCGCAGAGACCACTCCGGTCGACCGTTCACAGAGCCGAGATTCATTGGGCTCAAAACTGAGCGGCGATCGACAAATAGATAGCATCGCATCATCAATAAAAATAATTCACACAAATAATTCCAACAAATAATTTGGCTGCACCAATCTGGCTGCCTACGTACCCTCTTTCTCAAGGGATCAAGCCTCCCGTAGTTCATCAAAGATATTCATACAAATATATGCAACTCTAGTTTACCATTTATCACAACAAAACTAACACAATATGTCAATAGACCAAATCAGATCATAATCCCATTGGGATACACATATGCGTATTATAACATACTTATGACTATAAGTGTAACAATCGAGCGGCTCAAACTCCGCAAACACATCTCAAAACAACGCAAATAAACTTCAGAGAACAAGAAACTGAGGCAAACTGCCCAGGAAATGGTCTGCGCTACTGTTAGTAAAATAAGCATATCATTGCTAGGAAAACTATTTTTAGAAATAGTTTTCTGTTTTGAAAACTAGATTCACACATCTTTCAAATGGAACTAGTTTGGTTAGATTTGGAATTAATTTGTTATCTCAAATATCCAGTTAATCATCATATATGTGCAGCAGTTTTCCTGCAAGACATGTTATTGGTAAAAAGAGTATATCTTTCTCTATACAAATCCTTTTTAAGATTTTCTTTCTGTTTTAAAAGCTAGATACACATATCTTTCATATGACACCAGTTTTATTCAATTTGAAGTTCAAAATCAAAACCAGATTTCAGTTGAAGTTGATCACACGGGTTGCAGTTTTCTGCAAGACATGTCGTTACTAAAAAGACTATATCGTTCTCAATATAAATCCTTTTTAAGATTTTCTTTCTGTTTTAAAACCTAGATTCACATATCTTTTATATGACACCAGTTTTGTTCAATTTGGAGTTCAAAATCAAAACCAGATTTCAGTTGAAGTTGATCACACGGGTTGCAGTTTTCTGCATAACATGTCATTACTAAAAAGACTATATCTTTCTCAATATAAATCCTTTTAAATATTTTCTTTCTGTTTTAAAAACTAGATTCACATATCTTTCATATGACACCAGTTTTGTTCAATTTGGAGTTCAAAATCAAAACCAGATTTCAGTTCTATCATTGGATCAAAATTATCATCAAAATCAAATTTTTACTTTAACATAACAGTAAGCTTAAGCAAGCATAATATCGTTCTTAACTTGTTAAAATTTCAACTAATTACTGGGAAGGTTTGGGTAGGAGATAATCTTACCTTAAAGACGTGTGCAAGCCTTTGAAGATGATATGAAACGACCGCTTACCGCCAAACACCACAGATCTCACATTTCCTTCGATGTTCGCCTCACGAACTCTCCCAAAAACACAAGATTTAAAGCTAGGGTTTTAGAGAGGAGGGTAGGGGCTGCTAGGGTTTGGTATTCTGATGAAGATAGATCTTTTTTCGTGCACCAACATGTTTTTATATAGCAACAAACCCGATTCAAAAAGCCCAAACCCGAAACCTATTAGAATCTGGAAACAACCCGTCAGTCTACGATAGTTTGGCTGTAACTTTCTCATACGAACTCGGAATAAGGTGATCTAAGATTTGTTGGAAATCTATTGAAGAGACCTACAACTTTGCTCTTTTACATTTTTCCAAATTTCAACTGTATCTATATGTAAAATGCATATACTTTTGACTGGTCGTTTTTCCCAGATTCAGGCCCGTGTACGTGTGCATGATATCACTTCTATATTCACATATATACATTGAATTGATCTCAAATCAATTCCTAGCATACTCAAATATTGATAAATATCATTTATCATAATATAACATATTTATTATTATTTATTATAAAATAAAAATAAAAATTTAAAATTTTAGGGTTTTACAGAACGGACTTAAACAATTCGCATGCAAGCCCGATTCAAACGGTAATCGGTAAAGACATGTCAAATCCGTTGAAGGCTGAGGATTTGATAAAAAATTCTAAGTCAGCGTCTAACACGCGTTGTCGGGTAGTCTATTCCCGTGAGAAAGACGAAGTCTACGTATTCAATATCGTAGCACTAAAAGAGTTAACTCTTTTAGCACAACGTTACGTACAGAACAGGTCTAAACAATCTGCATGCTAGCCCGACTCAAACGGTAGTCAGTAAAGGCTAATCAAACCCGTTGATGGCTGAGAATTTGCCAAAAATTCTATAAATATGAGTCATTAACGTATCAGCTTCATTAGTTGGTCTCGTGACTTGAACATCCAACAACTTCGGGATAAGATCCATATCTACAGACGAAACAACTTTAATAGTTGGTCCTGCAGCCTAAAATTTGGGATTGCCATGCTCTAATGCCTTAAGAGCTTAAACTGTGTAGACTCCAGCAAATGTACGAGTATAAACTGTGTTAACGCCGGTCAACGCATTGCGACGAAGATAATCAGTTCAAAGTCAACTCAATAACACGAGCTAAGTTCAAAAACTTACACATCGACTTCAATTCAAGATTTTGACAACGGTCAGACGATAAACGCAGCGCCGGAAGAACTTCATCTATTCGACAAAACATTGAATAGATTGAAGGCTGAAGAAGTTAAGAATTAAAGCAGTTTACAGGTCCCTCTACGAAATTGAGGAAAAGGCCTATCTTATACAAAGCCTTCCAGACTCTTCTATAAAAGAAATAAGTCTGAAATGCTTTGGAGGGGGTATCTGTAGGCGTCTAAAATTGCCAATAGGTATCCACACACAGCTCGAGACAGAGAGAAGGTGATGAGCATCATTATCTAAGTCCAAGAGAATTATTCGACGCTAACCAGCGAATCAACGAACTATTGATGATGTGGCCCGCACGCTCACCGAGCACCACCAAGTGGCCCGCGTGCCCATCGGCCACCAAATATGCATGCCCATCGGCCACTAAATCGACGAACCAACTGGCCCGTGTACTCGCCAGTCAGCTCCAAGTGTCCCGCGTGCTCACCGGCCACCACCAAGTGGCCGGCATGCTCACCGGCCACCACCAAGTGGCCCGCATGCCCATCGGCCACCAAATCGACGAACTAAGTGGCCCGCGTGCTCACCGGCCACTACCAAGTGGTCCGCACGCTCATCGGTCACCAAAATAGCGTACAGATCAACGAAACAACGAAATACGCGTAATCACGGAACAAGTCAAAACCTGAAAAACCAATAAAAGCCACTGGCGACTGAGTCACATCAAAACGACTCGGCCAAACTAGTGGTTCGGTCCAAAGCCAGATCACTAAAAGGTGACTCGGCGGCCGAACCACCGGGTGACTGTTCGGCCAGATCTGATCTAAAACGTGATTTTTTAGTTTTGATGGATTCTCGTGGGATTTGTTGGTTCCCAAACGTCCCAACTAATCTGATACTATGGTTAATCAGTTCTTAATTAAAGAAAAAAAGGAATCCCTCGTTCTTATCCAAATACCCGCTACCGAAACTTATAAATAGGAGCTCGGGTGCTCAGATCTCATGGCTGAACATCAAGAGGGCGAGGTGTTGCCGGTTTCTCGAGTGCATAGCCACGAATTTCAGCAAAGATTAGCAGATCTCGGCGATCTCCTGTGCATAAAGAGTGGAGTTCGAGAGATTTGAGACCCGTCCCTATTCCTCCGGATTTAAGCTTAGTCTTAAATCTCGAGAAGAGCCGTGATCTCGCTTGGTCAAGATCATCGCTGCAGTGATTACTTCCTTTGTGAAGTAAGAGTTTTGATCATCAATCTGTCTATCGGATCTGATTTGTGGCGGTCCACAGATATTAACGTCTCCGGCACAGGCAAAGTTCCTACGCAAGCAGCGGGTGATAAACGCCTGTTGTGCTGTTTGACAAGAGTTGTATCTTTTGTATTTTCATTGTATAAGAAGATTTTATGAAAAGATCAACTTTTTATTTGAGTTTATTATAAACGATTAAAGTTGTAATATATTCAGTCATAATGAAAACAACGATTTTTGACCCAAACATATATAAGGGTTGGAAAGAGCCGTTACAAAACCCGCAATTAATACAGTAACGTTTTCCATAAATTCCGTAACGTTCCCCATAATGTATAGTCGTTACGCTCATTTTTAATTACTAATTAAATTATGTTTTGATTACAAAATTTATTACTATTCATGAAGGTAAAATTTCCTTTTCTCTAACAAAATATCCAACAGAAGCTGTTTAGGCGCGTACGTATAAAACTTTTAGGGCGGGTGAACAGGTACAGTGTGAAGTGATGCAGTGTGAAGTGAAGGGGGTTTGATACGTGCAGCAGCTGTGATGTTTTTATGCGGTTATCTGTTTTGAAACGTGAGCAACTTTGATGTTTCATGTTAGATGTGTTGCTGCTCAGTAAATCATCATGGCATCTTACTTCTATTCACCACCGTATAATTATTTCCAATAATGACCAGCTTTGGTTCCTCCCGGGTCTTAAAGAATCAGATGATGCATAACAGGGGATCTGTGGTGATTGAGTCTCACAAATTTATCTGCATCACCCAGTAATGCCGTAGCTTAGGAGAAACTAAATATGTATCGCCACCGTGACGCAAAGAGGGATTCAATCACTGCATGCTATCTATTTGCGAGCAGATAAAGCCAGTCATCACGCAAACTCTCTCAGACCTCAGATGCTCCCACAGTACATGTTGCAACGCAGGGGCTTCACAGACATGTAAGATGTCTATACAAATGTGGAGAATAACAACACTGAATAAACACAGTGAACACAAAGAATAGCAAACAAGGATTTAACGTGGTTCGGTCAGTATGACCTACGTCTACGGACAAGAACAGCAGAGAACTTCACTAATCATAAATAAAATATTACAAAAGAGGAGATCACTCTCTATCTAGAGACTCACACAAAGAGAGTGACTCTTTCTATCTCACTCTCTTATCTCTATTTTCTCTCTACTTAACTGAGTTCTGATGATTCTAAACCCTCAAACCACACCCCCTATATATAGCTTATAAATATTAATAAAATAATATACAATGATTGTTAGAATAGTGGAATTAGGCAAAAGTTAGGTTCTCTTTTAAAAATCTTCAAAGACACGTTTTTAACAAATCTCCATCTTACATTTGAGAATGAAGATCTTCTCTTCACTCTTACTGTCTCGCCAAAAGCCCCTTACGGGATTAACCTCCGTTTTGTCGAACTCCAAGCAATTTGAGGCAATGCTCGAACTTGCGCGAAGGTACGGGTTTCGTAATCATATCTGCTAAATTATTTGCAGTACCAATCTTTCAATCTTGATAATTTAAATTTCTTTGATAAAATGATACCTGACATCTATATGTTTGGTTCTTTCATGATAATATGATGATTCGTCAAATGTATAACACTCTAGCTATCACAAAATATCGTAGTAACACCTTAGTATAAGCTGAGGTCTTCAACCAAACCTCTCAATCAAATAGCTTCTTTCACTATTTCTGTCACTGTCATATACTCTGCCTCTGTGGTAGACAAAGCAACTGTCGACTGTAGAGTGGTCTTCCAACTAATGGCACTACATGAAAGAGTGAATATATAACCCGTCAGGGATCTCTCTTATCCAAATCACCCGCATAAATCTGAATTAGAATAACCAAATATTCTACAATCTGAGTTTGTCTTCCTACTAAAATATAAACCAATATTAGCAGATCCTCTCAAATATCTAAGTATCTATTTCACAATCTGCCAATGGACCTTTCCAAGCTTATCCATGTACCGACTCACAATACTGACTACATGTAAAATATCTGCATGTAAAATATCTGGACGGGTACAGACCATCGCATACATAATGCTTCCAACTGTACTTGCATAAGGAATACAGGACATGTACTGCTCCTCCTTTTCAGTCTGAGGTGAAAAATCTGCTGAAAGATAAAAATGAGCGACAAGCAGAGTCTTCACAGGCTTAGCATCAAGTATGCTAAACCTCTCCAATACCTTCTTGATGTATTTCTCTTGAGATAGGATTAAACTTCCTCCTTGCATGTTCCTGTGGATCTCTATCCTTAAAATCTTCTTTGCTGCTCCCAAGTCCTTCATCTCAAACTCATGTTTGAGTTGAGATTTCAACTCATTGATTTCTTAACATATTTTTAGCTGCAATCAACATGTCATCAACATACAAAAGCAAATATACAAAAGAACCATCATTGAGCTTTTTATGATAAACACAACTATCATATTTACTCATTGAGTAATCATGCTCAAACATGAAAGTATCAAATCTCAAATACCACTGTCTCGGAGACTGTTTCAACCCATAAAGAGATTTCTTCAACCTGCACACATGGTCTTTTTTACCTTCAACAATGAAACACTCTGGCTGATGTATAAAGATCTGCTCCTCAAGCTCGTAATGTAGAAGAGTTGTCTTCACATCAAGTTGCTTAAGCTCCAAATTAAAATGAGCAACCATGGAAAGCAACACGCGAATTGAGGTGTATTTTACAACTAGAGAGAATACTTTATTAAAGTCCACACATTCGGTCTGACTATAGCCTTTAGCTACCAAACGTGTCTTGT